ATAAGAACCAAGAGACTCATGTAATAGTACAAGATCCCAATGATGAATGTAACTGTATTTTATACCTAAAATGTACCAATAAAGTTAATGGGGGGGGGGGAGAAAGAAAAGAGTGTACCTGACTTTTTAGGAGTTGATGCTGCAAACTGTGTATTTTAAAATTATGATAAGGGGATGCTGCCCCTTGGGACAAATTAGAAAGCCATGCATTCTCTTTATCAAAGTCCCATCTTAGTTTATTTAATTCTTCTTTAGAATTTTTCCTGGGGATGGACAAGGCTACCTGAGACTGATGGAGACCAGTCTAAGTTGAACTACTTGCTCTTTTTAGCTTCTTGGCTCACAGACTGGTTTATAAACTAGACTGAGATAAAGAAGTAAATTGATTTGATTTTAAAAGGTTTTCCATAAACTCATCGGTGTCAATGTGAAGTTTAATGCTGCTATATAATTCAACTATCATGTGGGCCTCCCTCAAACTTTGCCTTTTAGTCCCTTGTAGGCCATAGGAGAAGTTGAGAAGGACTTTCAGTGATAGCGGAAGAGAAGAAAAGGAGCAAAACAGAACCCAAATAATGTATGACATAGAATAGTGAGGGAATAAATATAAAAGTTTTAAGTGAGCCAGTGTGTGTGCCTGTAATCCCAGCACTTGAGAAGCTGAGGCAGGAGGATCACCTATGTAGCTTACACTACATAGAGACAGGGTCTTTAAGAAAAAATTTGCTTTTAAGTGGGCTTCTGGAGGGCAAAATTGTGTTTAAATCTTAAAATAGTATTACCAACAAGGGACTTTAGATTCACTAAAGTGTGGTTTTGTTGTTTTTTTGATACTGAGAATTTTGGGATACTAGTGGTATCCAGGGCCTCATGAATGCTAGGTGAGCACTCTACCACTGAGCTACATTCCCAGCCCTGTATGATTCTTATATAAAGAGAGTCTTAGCTACTACACAGAGTGATGCATGCCTGTAATTCCAGCACTCTGGGAGGCTGAGGCAAGAAGATCACAAATTGAAGCCCAGCCTGGGCAGTTTAGTGACTTAGCAAAAACCTCAAAATTAAAGAAATAAGATGGGGGCCGGGGATTTAGCTCAGTAGTGCTGTGCCTACCTCGCAAGTGCAAGATCATGAGTTTGATCCCTGGTACAAAAAAAAAAAAAAAAGGAAGGGAGGGTGTACTGGACTGGATTTCTCTTCCTGTATTGACACCCTGATTTAGATTATGTGATTCAATGGCTAAGATTAAAAACAATTTTTTGTGTGTGATGGGAAGTATTAAGATTCTCAGTTTAAGTGATAGCTCCAGCCCTGCCTTATTTTTTACTGAATGTGCCCCTTCGAGGCTTATTGTCCCCCTTTTCAAAGGGGAATAGTAATAGTATCCTGCTCAGGGTCACTTAAGAGAATTAAATAAGATAATATACGTAGCTGTCTCTCTTTTTTTTTCCTTACATCCTCAGCCTTTTAAAAAAAATTTTAAATTTGAGACAGGGTCTTGCTAAATCATCCAGGCAGGCCTCATATTTGCAATCCTCCTGCCACAGCCTCCTAGGAGCTGGATTTTAGGTGTGCACTTGTAATTGCTTCTTATGGTTCCTGATACATTGTGTATGCCAAAATTAGTTTAACATATTGTTGTAGTGTTATTATTACCATCATCATTATTGGTACTGTATTATACTATGAGAAAGCCATTTAGGACCGGGGATTTAGCTCAGTGGTTCTGTCACTTGTCTCTCAAGCTCAAGGACCCGAGTTCAATCCCTAGTACCAAAAAAAAAAGAGAAAGCCATTTATCTTTGTATATCCTCATCTTAGATATCCTGTCTGTAAAATATGAATAGTCTCATTTCCCAAATTTTATGTAATGATAAGAGGATAAACAATTTCAAAAATATGAAATTTTTATAATAAGATAAATTCAATAACAAGGTATTCTGTTATTATTTAAAAGATACTTTTGCTTCCCCTTTAAAAAAAACCAAAAAACTCTCACATGAAGAAAGCAAAAAATACCTAGTGCATAAGAGAACTAATTGGTTAGTCATAAATAAAAAATATTTTGGCCCAAATAGAAATGAGATTAGAGTATAAAAGTTGAAAAGTTTTTTTGTTTGTTTTTATTGAGACATGTTCTTGCTATGTATCCCAGGCTGGCCTTGAACTCATGGTGGTCCACTTGCCTCAGCTTCCTAAGTGCTAGGATTACAGGATTATCCCCATGCACATTTGAATTTTTTAAGGAAAGCTCTGTTCAGTGCCTTGGGCATCTTTTCCTGTTCCTTATTCTATTTTCTTTTTTTTTTTTTTTTTTTTTTTGGTGTGGGGGGGATCGAATTCAGGTCCTTGTGCTTGCGCAGCAGGCGGCGAAACCACTGAGCTAAATCCCCGGCCCATAATTTTCTATGACAGTAGCTCAGCAAGGGATAGCTATATAGACCTGCCATTAGCATAGGTTCCATTTAATTGTTTCATATCTAATTCTCTACATTGATCCATTGAAGTATTCATTTAACAGGATATTGGCATTCTAAGATAATTCTCTTCTACAGATAAAGATCAGGAACAGAAAAGTTAATGTGATATAATTAACATTATATTTGGAATTGAACATACAACATACCCTAAGTTTCCAGTCCCACTTCTAGTTGTTCTCTAGGGCACACTGGGAAATCTGTGCAGAGGTCTTTGGTGTCATGCTTCCTGTGGGCGCTACAGGCATTCATTGGCTCTATCTAAGGGTGTTAAACATCCAGGAATTTGATGGACCCTGTCTCAAATTTCATGAGAAGAGTATTGACCCACCTGAAATATCTATGGCACTCTTATTTTAAAAATTTGACTTCTTACTTGGCCTTCTCCTGAAGCAGGCATGTTTCCTTTCCCTAATTCTCTTATCTAATAGAAGTTATTTCTTTAGTTAAGTCTTTTGTGTTAGGGCAGCACGTGATCAAGGCATTTCTCTGGAAATAACCTAGTTGTGTTGGGATTTTTTGTTGCCATGTTGATGGGACAGGCCGGGCAAGAATCCTTCCGTTCTATCACCCGTTCCTACTACAGGGGAGCAGCGGGAGCACTCCTGGTGTATGACATTACAAGGTGAGCCACCTCTGGTGTGTGGGAGGCAAACTCTTCCAGAAGTTCTCTGAGCTTTACTTCTCTATTGACTGGTTTTGTTAGGAAGCTAACTAGGGATGGCTTCTAATTTATATACATAAAACAGTCTTCCATTTCTCTTACAACTGGAGTTGCTTTGGCCTTTTGAAATGGCCTTCTGACCAACTTTCTAAACTTTTCTGCTATAGGCGTGAAACGTTCAATCACCTGACCTCATGGTTAGAGGACGCCCGTCAACACTCCAGCTCAAACATGGTTATCATGCTGATAGGAAATAAAAGGTAAACATTTTATTTTTATGAGCAGCAGTTACAGGAGTCATCTAGGCACTCTGTAAACATTGATTTTCTTGGTCTCCAGACTTTCTTTTATTGTGGTACAATACATAGCATAAAATATACTGTTTTTAACTATTTGGGTAGAGGTACAAATACAGAGTTTTTGACATCTCCCTTGTCTTCACGTAGCTTATGCATAATATATGAAAATCTTGTGAATTTGTCATAATACTTACTTCTGGATTTTTTTCATGGTTGAAAAACTGGAAACCTTCCAAATTAAAATTTCCGGTTTAAAAAATAAAAATCGAACAGCTTTTTAAAAAATTTCTTGGGTCGGGAATTTAGCTCAGTGGTGCTGCTGCCTGCCTTGCAAGTGCAAGGTCCTGAGTTCGATCCCCAGTACCAAAAAAAAAATTTCTTGGTTTTTTGTTTGTTTGTTTGTTTTTAGAGGCAGGGTCTTGCTATGTGGTTCAGGCTGGCCTTGAACTCACCATGTAGCCCAGGCTGGCCTGGAACTCAGGGTGATCCTCCAGCCTCAGCCTCGCAAGTGCTAGGATTGCAGGCGTGCATCACCACAACTGGTTCCAACCTTATTTTTCTGTCAGCTTTTTATTAATAGTCTTCTCATGCCACTTTCTCGATCCTTGCTTCTTTTTCTCCTGGAACTGCCTAATCTTACTCATTCGCCACCTCCATTTCCCTGGTACAAAGGAAAATGAGCCTAGTGAGAGCAAGATGTCTATGCTGTCCCTGTTTCTGGCTGTCACTCTTGTAGGTTGATTTCAGTAGAAGACACTCATCACTACAAGATGGAAAGTTCTAGGACTTTCCTGATTTTAGCAAATAGTGTTTTTCTTTCATTATCTCTATTTTGATCTCCTGGATCTCATTTGGAAAAGAAGCATAGAGTATAAGCTTTCAGTGACAACAGGGCTTATCTAACTCTTAATAAGTTTTGTTTTATTCTCTAATAGAGAAAGGTATTATCATTAGACATTCAGCAGCTGTCCTAAATCTGAAGAATATTTTCCAAGAGGCTAGAGAAACCAGTAACCCTGTGCAAGAGAGTATCATGTAGGATCTATATTCCGTATGGATTAACTGGCAATTGAAGCTGCTATGGAATTGTTTTAGAGTTTCCTCTTTTATTTGGATTTTTTGTTTTGTTTTTGATTTTTAGTTTTCTCCGCCAATTAATCTCTTGCAGTGATTTGGAGTCTCGCAGGGATGTAAAGAGAGAGGAAGGAGAGGCTTTTGCCCGGGAGCATGGATTGATATTCATGGAAACTTCAGCCAAAACTGCCTGCAATGTTGAAGAGGTACAATTTGGGAAAAAGTGGCGAAAGTTTTTCAGAGATAACACCATTGTCTTTGTACAGTTACTTAGAATTCTCTTCTCCAGTAAGACATGGGTTAAAAAAGGCTATCTTGGGGGCATAGTGACTAAATGTCTCCATTAAAGGAATTATCCTGTTATCATTTACCTTGATTCCTAAGGTTTTACTTTTTCTTTGGAAACTATTAATGGGTAAATGGAAATTAGACATCACTACTACTTGTGAATTACTTTGTTGAGGAATTTAATGGGTTCTACTGCATTCCTAGGCCTGGGGTTAATAGTATCTTCAGTAACTAATAGAGAAGAGAGCATGTGTATTTTTTCTGCAGAGGGTGCCAACCTAGGAATCCAAGGAACATCTTGGGTCAATACCAGAATGCCATTTAATCCCTTTATTATTTTTTTTAAACTACTCTCAATGGTTTTTTTTGTTTGTTTGTTTTGTTTTTTTGGTACCAGGGATTGAACTCGGTTCCTTGTGCTTGCGCAGCAGGTGGCAAAATCACTGAGCTAAATCTCTGGCCCATCTCAATGGTTTATTTTTTTTGGTACCAGGGATCGAACTTGGGACCTTGCGCTTGCAAAGAAGGTGGCGGAACCACTGAGCTAAATCCCTGGCCCCTCTCAATGGTTTTTACAGGAGCATTTTTTGGGGCAGCGAGAATCTGTATTTTTGCTCCCTTCTAATGGTTCCTAATTCATCTTAGAAATTCAAATAGGAATAATATTAGTGTTCTCTTTCCCTCATTTCTTTACCAAAACTTAAGACTGATAAATGATTTTTGTCTCCTTCAGGCCTTCATTAATACAGCCAAAGAAATCTATAGGAAGATCCAACAGGGTTTATTTGATGTTCACAATGAGGTGAGACAGAGTGGAGATGAAGTGCTTGCTGTTAACTGTTTTTTCTGAACAGGAATGGAAGAGGCTTAGAATGTGAGGATTCCCAGAAATACTAATTGTAGCTCTACCAATTCAAGCTTTTTTTGTTTTGTTTTGTGTTCTTTTAAACGAAGGTACATAGAAACATGTCATCATTTTCTCTTTTTTCCTCAAGTCTGAGACTTGGAATGCTTAAGAGATTAATAGTAGGTGATTTAAAAGACTTATATAACATGGTGGTTTTTCTTCTCAAATTCAGTTTTCTTTTCTTTTTTTTCTTCAGTACCAGAGATTGAGCTCAGGACCTTCACACTGAGCTACATCCCCATCCCTTGTTAAAATTTTTATTTTAACATAAGGTCTACGTCTATAAATTGCCCAGGCCACCCTGCCTCCTGCCTTAGCCTCTCACCAAGCTGGGAGTACAGGTATGCTCCACCATGCTCAGCTACAACTCAATTTCATATTCGAGAGCATGAGAGAAGTATAATTCATTTCTATGAAGCACATTCTCAGACAAAACATAAGAGAATCATATGCTAATATGGTGCTTCTTGCTTCCTCCTACTGTTTGTTTTTTGGTTGTTTTTTTTTTTTTTTGTAGTGGGGAATGAACTGAGGGAGTTCTGAGCTATATCCCCAACCCCTCTCCTTTAAAAAAAAATTTTTTTTTTAGTTTTGGAAGAGCCAGAGAAGGGAAGGAGAAGCAGGACTTTTGATTTTATTTTGAGAAAGGATCTAAGTTGCCCAGTCTGGCCTTGAACTTATGGTCCTCCTGCCTCAGCCTCTTGAGTAGCTGGGATTACAGGTGTGTGCCACTGTACTAGGATTTCCTGTTCTTTTCTAACTTATCAAATCTTAATTCTGCACATAGCTATGAAACTTAAGTTTAACAGTGTACCAAAAGGGATGCAAAAAACCCAGGCATAGTGGCACACACCTGTAATTCCAGTACCCTGCGATGCTGAGGCTGGAGGATCACAACTTTGAGCCCAGCCTGGGCAATTCAGGGGCGTAACAAGACCCTGTCTCAAAAACTCAAAAAGGATTGGCAATGTAGCTCAGTGTGAAGACCCTGTGTTCAATCCCCAGAACTGCAGAAAGGGGGGGGCGGCATAAGAATACATGAAATAATATTTCTATACTTGTATTTGGTAAGATTTTGAAGTAATATTTAAAATTCCACCAGGTATGGTAGCACACACTTATAACTCCAGCACTCGGGAGGCTGAGGCAGGAGACTCACCACAAGTTCAAGGCTAGCCTGAGTTACATAGTGAGCTCAAGGCCAGCCGGGTGTACATAACGAGACCCTGTCTCAAAAAAAAAAAATTCAAACATGTTGCAAAACTAGACAATAGTGGAGCATCACTGCTTGACACAATTATATGAAAGTGAACCAAGAGTCAGATTTAAAAAGGGAGGGGAACACAAAAGCCACCTCTAATTCACTCTATTTAATTTGATTTTATTTTTTGTGTGGTATTAGGGATTGAACCCAGGATCTTCGCACTGAGCTACATCCTTAACCCTTTTTAAAAAATGTATGTATTTATTTGTTTGGGGTTTTTTTGGTATTGGGGATTGCACTCAGGACCTTGTTCTTGAAAGGCAAGCATGGTGCCACTGAGCCAAATGCCCGGCCCTTAAAAATTTTTTAAAGACAGGGCCTCACCGAGTTGTGCAGTCTGGGGTCAAACTTGTGAACCACATGCCTCAGCCTCCAGAGTGTCATCTGTGATTCTTATAGCACAACTAGTCATCTTACATTTTGTTGTCACAGATGATTGTTCCACAACAGTTTGGCTGGGGTGCGTGGTTATCTGCCAAAGTTGTACCATTTTTTTTTTTTGAGGCAGGGTTTCCCTTTGTAGTTCAAGCTGGCCCTGAACTCACTATGTAGCCCAGGTTGGCCTCGAACTCAAGGTGATCCTCTTTCCTCAGCCTCCCTAGTGCTGGGATTACAGGTGTGTGCCACTACGCCCGGCTAGGTTGTATCTATTTTTAAATATAACTAATGATTTCTCCTTTGTCACCCTCCTTTCCTCCATCCATTTTAGCCCTGAAGTGAGAACTATTGCCTTTTTTAATTTTACAGGCAAATGGCATCAAGATTGGGCCCCAGCAGTCAATTTCAACATCACCCGGACCTGGTGCCTGCCAGTGGAACTCTCGGGACGTGGGGTCTGACTCCGGCTGCTGCTGAATATCTGGCCTGAACTTTTTGTTTTCCCCCCTTCCTGGAACAGCTTCAGCTCAATAGGCTTAAAGAAAGAGGTCTTACTTGCTTTGGTTGAGTATAGCCTCTTTTCAAGGTGTGATGTTTGCCTTTCCACTTAAAGACCATGGGAGAATTGGGGCCCTTACTGACCTGTCCTTCTTCAGGGACGTGAGCATTCCCTATAGATTAGGGCTCTTTTCATCCTCATTTTAATTTATAAAATGTTAGGATCAAAGTTGATTGTCATGGCAGTTCAAAAATAACTTCATAAGCATACACATTCTGCTCCCCGCTAGGAGTAAGGGTAAGTAATAAGGGTCAAGGATGTCTTATTTGAACACTTGATATTACCAGGCTCTGGCTTGCCTTTTGAAGATGATCATCGCTGTAAGTTTTCTTTTTTTTTTTTTTTAACTTTGTTCCCTTCAGGCGTCTGTGGCCACTTCATAAGAGTTCTCTCATGAGGCAGTTACTTCGACTTGACCAAGGAAGCTGAATAACTTCTCTTTTATCCTATTGCTAATGTCTGTCTCTTAGAGTAACTGCCGAACTTTGAGAGTTGTGGAGTTGGTCCTGGATGCCTGGCCACTTATCCTTACTCAACAAACACATTCATTCCCTGTTCATTTGTTCTAGGGACCAGGTCAAACACTGTAGCATCTTTCACCTAATTGATCTCCACTATTCCATCACACTTCTTAACTAGACCTAATTGGACTTTGTACTCTAATCAAGCTAATCTGCTTACTACACATGCCATATCCATTCCTCTTTATATACCTTTGCACATGCTGTACTATAAAGAGAGACATTATAACATAATTAAAAGACCAACATTTTTTCCTTTAGGAAGGCTTCAGTGACTGACCTAACGACTTTAAGCGATCACTGATGTATTATTGCCCCTTAAGGGCTTTCCTATTTTGGTTATTCATATGGGTATTTATTTGTAGGTATGTTACTCTGTAAATATGTTTTGTAGTTGTTTCTTGCCTGGGATCTGTCTCCTCATTTAGGCTGTACGCTCTGTGAGAGCAGGATCCATGTCATTCCTTTATTTTTATAAACCACTTTGCCCGCGTCCTGTCTCAGTGTCTAGTGCTACCCATTATGTGATCATTAAATTTGACCAACATACTTAAAAACTTCAGATATTGGGCCAGGGATTTAGCTCAGTGCCACCGTGCGTGCCTTGAAAGCACAAGGTCCTGAGTTCGATCCCTGGTACGAAAAAAAAAAAGAACCTTCAGATTTTAGACTTCGGAGAAAGCAAAAGACCTTAAAGTTATCTCTTCATAATTCTATCTCAGTTTCTTCCGTCTGATTACCCTAGATCTAGATGGCTCTTCTCTCTTGCCTTTCTCTGGCTCACTGCCTCCATTCTATGCAGCATATAGTAAGGCTGCCTGCTACCAAGCAGCCAGACAAGTGGGTACTTCAGTCCTTCACCATTTCTGAGTATACAATACTATCTTCGCCACATTTGCCTTTGCTTCATGCATCATACAGCCTTCTGGGTCAGTTGCTTTTTGCTTAATGTCTCCTTCTCTTCCACAGCACTGAGGTCTCTGAATTTTTCTAATTTTTGTTAACAAATTGTTTCATTATTAAATATATGCATGTTTCCAAGCTGTTTATATTCCATGTGTCATTTCTGATAAATTCCAAAAAGTAGTTATTTCTAGGGTATTGTACCAAAGATGTGAAGGAAGCCTCCTTCTTGGGATTTGTTTTATACTGGATTCTGCCCCTACTAGTAGCCATGATGGTTACTATGCCAAAGAAGGGAAGACATTTGGGGTATTCCCTTAATTGTGCTTTTATTTTTTTTAAGTCTTACCTCATTCCAAAAAGGATTTGAGGTTATTGAATTTGGAGTTATTCTGCCCCCTCAAACCAGGGATAAAATTAAGTATAACTTTACAGATTCTGTATAGACTTTCTTCAGCATTTAGAAAGTCTTCAGCAATTAGAAAGCATTATCACTTTGGTCAAAGACAGCCTTATGCCTAGAGCTGGTGCTTTCATGGTCATTAATGGATACCATTTTGATATTTTGGAGCATTTAAAAAAATCCTAACTCCCACATCGAGTTCTGTTATTCAGACAAATTTGTTACTCAGGCATTCTATGCTTGGATATTTTCCTCCATTGGAAATGGGAGAAGCAAAAATACTGCAAATTCATGACTTGTATTTCTGAGTCAATTGGTCATGAAGAATTAGAAGAGTGGATCTCCCATCTACTGCAGAATGGTAGTTAAGAATGGTGTTGATTGGTTTTTGAAGGCTAAGAACACTGGAAATCATGTAATTTATAGCAAAATAGCAGTGTAGGTATAGGTATCAGAAATTATTGAATTGTGTACTTTCCCCCCTTTCTATAATCCCTATAACAAGTTCCTTTGATGGTATGTCTATTCTGTAGCAGAAAACCAGGATAATTGGATGTTATTCTAAAGACAGTCAATAATAGCGTATCTGAAGCCAGGCATGACGGTTAGCACTCTGGGAGGCTGAGGCAGGAGGATGACAAGTTCAAGCCTAGCCTGGGGAGTTTAGTGACTTAGCAAGACACTGTCTCAAAAAAAATAAATAAATAAACAATTGTTCTGGTAAATACTAATACCTCAAATTTTGATACAATGACATCAGTATTTGGGAAAATTTGGCCACAGATTTTGTTCAATGTACAGGAAAATATATTTGACCAAGTACTACCTCTCATAAAAATAAATGACCTTGGGCCAGGGATTTAGCTCAGTGGTTTTGCCACCTGCTGCGCAAGTGCAAGGACCCAAGTTCGATCCCCAGTACCAAAAAAAAAATAATAATACATGACCTCTAAATGTCTCTGAGGTCCTGTCATGTATGACCATTTATGATATCACTTGGGAAATTAATCTTGAAGGACAGACTGCCTTCACTTGTGAGGTTTTTAAAAAAAAAATTTGGTATATTTGCAGTACATACTGATCACATTGTGGGGACTTGGTACATGTACTTAACACATCTTAATTTTTTTTTTTTTACATTACCTTGTCTTCCCCTTTCTTCTCCATCCCATGGTCTCATTTTTTATTTTTTTTGGTGCTGGGGGTCGAACTTGGGTCCATGTGCTTGCGCAGCAGGGGGCGAAACCACTGAGCTAAATCCCCAGCTCCCATGGTCTCCTGATTTGCAAAAGATCTATCTCCCTGTTTTTTCTTTTTTCGGTAAGGGGGACCGAACTCGGGACCTTGTGCTTGTGAGGCAGGTGTGGAGCCACTGAGCTAAATTCCCAGCCCAACTTTGTTTGTTTGCTTGTTTTGTTACCCGGATGGATCTCAAGACCTTGTGCTTGCAAGGCAGATGCAATGCCTCTGAGCTAAATTCCTGGCCCTCCCTGTTTTCTATTTATTTTGTTTTTTAAGTTTTACACTTTGGATTTCTCGTATACGAGAAACCATGACATATTTTAGTTTGCGTGTCTGATTTATTTCACTTAACATGATCTCAAGGTGCATACATTTTCCTACAAAGGACTTAAATTTATCCTTCATGAGGTTTTAAAAAATACTTGTAGCAGGGCCTGGGATTTAGCTCAGTGGTGCCACCACCAAGGTCCCGAGTTCAATCCCTGGTACCAAAAAAAAAAAAAAAAAGCAAAATGTAATAGAGATTGAGATTAGGAAATACAGGAAACCTTTTATTGAATGCACTTTCACCTATAATGAAAAGTATTTCCGCTTAAATTCAGTTAAAATGACTTGGGCACTGTTTTTGTGTGTGTTTATGGTTGCCCCCTAATGGTCCTCCTTACATGTAATTTCTCTTGTCTTTTACAGTTTGTACCACATGTATTCACGAATAGTTTGGATCTACTGATGAATTGTATGCCTTTAAAAATGAAGCTGGGTATGGTGTCACTACCTGTAATCCCAGCACGCGGGGAGGCTCAAACAGGTGGATCTCAATTTTGAGCCCAGCTTGAGCAATTTAGACTTAGATCTTGTCTCAGAAAATTAAAAGTGGCCTGAGGATGTAGCTCAATGCGAAGGCCCTGGGTTCAATTCCCAGTACCGCAAAAGAAAAAAAAAAGTTCTCCCTTCAAGTTTGTTATTTCCAAGTTGCCAAAATCAGAACACTGGAAACTTTGCAAGTGAAGTGTAAAGATTAGAACCGTCTAGGATAGATATATAACCTGTGTTGCTCCTCTGTAAGGTGTTTAGAAAGAATTATTCTGGAAACTAGTAACACCTACTCTCATTTGATTGGTTTATGCTTGTTTGATTTTATAAAATCTCATCACTCCTGCAGTTAAGAAGGTGGTGGTGGTGTTTGCCTCTAACCCCATTCAGCATTTTTCCAGATTTTCTCATCGTGACTGAGGGTCAGCATGACTCTGCATAAGGGAATGTGTTGCTGAGGGACCTGAGACCTAACCAGTCGGACAGAGCGTCAAAACGGGCTTCAGATCCTTCAAGCCCTTCTTCCCCTCCCCGACCGCAAAGCGCCGGCCGATCCAAGATGGCTTCCCAGGCACAGGTAACTTAAGTGTTATTTCTGCGAAGAGCGCCCCCGACGGCGGGGGCCAAATAAAGATGCCGAGAGGCCCACCCACCTGCGAACTGAGTTGTCAGCGGCGGCTGCCGCCAGATTCTATTTTCAATCGGGCATATCCGTGGTCGCCTAAGGACCCTTCCCAGCCCTTTAGGACCTTCCACCCTCAAGAGACTTCCTGGATGGCGCTCACACTAACACATTGGAAGGGGCCGGCTTCGGCCCTGCGATTGGCTGGTAGGGGCGAAGGTGGGCGGGCCGTAGAGCGAACGGACTACTAGCAAGGTAGGTTGAGGCGAGGGCTGGTCATGCTCCGCCGGAAGGCGCCTTGTTCTCCGAGAGGGTGAGTTGAAATGCTGGCTGGGAAGGAAGCACAGGACTTGTTCAGGTAGGCTTCCCGCTCACGCCTGCTCCTTGGTGCCGGTGCAGGAGACTTTACTAAAGATCAGGCTCTTGGGGTGATCTCAGAACTCAGCCTCCTCTCCTCGCTCGCACCCCCTCCGCGTCCCCCGGCGTGGGGATCAGGTGCTGGGTGATGCTCCGGACTGAACCATTCTCCTTTGTGAGAGGCCGGGGGAGAGGGCGGCTGCCGAGCTGCGGGGTCCGAGCGGGGCCCGGCCGTGGGCGGGCTGCTGGGACCACTGTGGACTTTTTAGAGCTTGTCATTGCTTTCCTGGGCGTGGTGTACATTTGAGACAGCGCCTCGTTCTCCTTCCCCCTTCCGAGAAGGAAAAACTCCCCGGCTCCGTTTGGTTACTCCATACTTTGGACTCAGAAGTGGGAGGTTTGGATATTTTTCTTTCTCTTTTTTTGTGTTTTAGTGATAAAAGTGGGTAGGAAAGCATAGGGCGAGCGTATGCCGATTGCTATTCTTGATGGTATTCTGTGGATCATCTGGGAGTGAAGAACAGGCTATTGGCGTGTATTTGGAGATAGTGGGACGAGAGCTCTATCCTTACATCGCATGTCCCTTGACAGGTCTGCAGAGCTCGCTGGGTTTTGGTTGCATTATGTAAACTAAGAGAGTTAACCCTCCTCCTCTCACCCCCCCCTCCGCGCGCCTTGTAGCGAATGCAGTTTTTTAATTTACCTGTCTCTAGCGTCGCAGGGAATTTCCCTGCCATTGCAGGAGCTGTGCAAATGCAGCAGCTTCTTTTTAAGATACGGTCCTGAAGTAATTAAATTAAGGTCTCCACTGAAGAGGTATATAGTAGAGCAGTCTCTACAAATAGTGATCGCAGTGCGCTAGAAGTCAAAGATTTAGAACTTTACGCCTTTTTCTTAGGAAGAATAGACAGTGGAACAACGCCTCAGACAGAGCCGTGGGAGCTGCAGTATCAGCGTCTGCTGCATCTTACCATCGCATCAACATCACAGATCACTGATCTGCATATTCTGAATTTGTCAACTCAGAGATTCTCTGACCTGGTTTATGGTTAGTGTGAGGCACAAGAGAAATTAAAAGTGAATTTGTGACTTGGATAGTGCTGTCTGATAATTAGCTGAGGTCTTCTGATACGAATTTATTTTGTATGACTATTCAGTTGGTTCCAGAACAAGTCGCGGTCAATTTCATAAGGCTAAAAGTGGAAATTTTATTTTTTCAGTTATTTTGGAATTATTCCAACCCTTAAAAAGCTTATGATAAGAAAAACACAATTTTCCATTTAAGAAGACCTTTTTTTGCAAGAGTGGCGTGGCGGTGGGCCTGTGGGGCCAGGCAAAGTACATAGGCCAGATAGAGGGTAGGCACTGGTGTGAAGAGACAGCAGAAGAGGTGCCTTGGGGAAAGGTTTAAAACGAAATGCTAAAGGAGTATAAGGGATTTGTACTTGCATAGATCATACCTTCCCTGCTTGATCTCTCCTTTGTATCTGGTCTTTTGGTTTGGTCAGTTCTCAGATTGACCAAACTTAAGCTAGATATGAATAGACAATGTATCTCTTGAGCTGTTTGTGAATCACCTGGAAACACAAACATTGTATCAGGAAAGAATGGATATTTCAAGTGAAAGGTTAAGTTTCTGGTAGGTCGTGGAGGATGGTGAAGGCAGTCTTTAAAATAAACCATTGTCCACATATCCTTTGAAAAGGGTGAG